TGTGTGTGTGTGTGTGTGTGTGTGTGTGTGTGTGTGTGTGTGTGGAAGCGATTGCGCTTTGTCACCCACTTTCATCTCAGCAAGCAGGAAAGCTGGGGGCTGAAAGTTTGAAAAAGAAAAGATTATATATATTCCCAGATCATATATGGTTTTGATTATATATGTTCTTACCCCGTGTATCATCCTCCCGTTTTAAGATGGTTTTGGTTTCCCCATACGCGCCTAGACACCGCGTACGGGCCTCCCAATAAAAATATGTTGGTGGGAAACGACCTCGCGAACCAGGTAGGTAGAAAGCTGAAACTTTGCAGGGATATTCTCAATGCACATGTAAGCTAAAGATTTCAAAATTCAGCTGTCGAGCATCTCAACCACAGCCTCAAGCAGCTCCTCAACCCAAAAATTGTTAGCAACTCGGACCCGAACCGCAACCGTATATGTAAATGAACATTAGTTAATTTGCATACATGGATTTTTTGACAAACGACCGCTCGAGCAATACTTCCGCTTTTTAGTGAACTGGAAATTTGCATTTTTTCAAAAAATTTGCATTTGTCATTTTTTCACAAAGTGAGCACTTGCCGAAAAACGACCGGACTTCATGCAAAAAACCGGTAATTATGCACCTGGATGTCCGTGCAGCTTTATAATGCACCACCTTCATCCTACTTGACGCCCTTCCTCCTGCATGCCGGAATGGATCAAAGCACGGCCAATATGAGCCCAAATGTTAGGCTACAGCGTACGGATTATTCCTGCTAATAGCGATCTGCGAGTTTGGTGCAAAAACGCATGATCGTGCCGGAGAGTCTGAGGCGTTCCAGCCTGGGTAGTATTATTATTCGCTCACGCTTGTGTCTCACATGCGGACGCCTCGGAAAAATGTGGAAATTTTTGGCGCAAAAACGACCTTGGGAACTGAAAAAGATTAGGGAACTGGAATTTGACTGAAATATTCTATGCCATTAAGTGAGCTAAATATTCCTAATTTAGCTTTGACGCGTACTTACATCTTGTGTACATAGGCATCGAAGTTGAGGTTCCGTCGTTGGTAAGGTGCCAATTCAGTAACTAAGTTCATTAGAGCGCTCAAACTTTTCAAGAATATTTGTTTTCCATGAATGGGAACGTAGGCATAAAATGAGCTTCAATACACGCTTGCGTCGATAATTTTACTACGTTAAGGATTTCGCGTAATAAAAAGCGATTCGGCAAACCCGACATGCCAGGGTGTTAAAGTTTTGCGAAGATATTCTATGTCCATGTGCAACCGGAATATTCCAATTTGAGCTTTAATGGTCTCCACGCGCCAAAGTGAATGTTTAATTTTGTGGCCACTGTAGGCACCCAACTCGGTAACAAGGCTGAGCAGGAAGCATCATTTTTCTGAGGATGTTTGCTGTTCTTGTACGAGCCAAAAAGCGAAAGATGAGCTTCTGTCTAGGCATGGGCTCTGCGCACAGACGCATAAAATGATTAAATTGCAAGACTGCACCTACACCTCGGTAGCACATGTGTTGCAAAAGGAAGAAGGAGCAAGTAAGAAGGAAGCGAAGTTGGAGCCTCAATCCCCTTTGCCTTGTCCAGTTGCCCTTTGGTTTCCAATACGTTAATGCCGGTCTCTTGGCTCGAGCTTCCCCCTCCGTGATATTTAATGCGATGATTGAGAATGAAATTGAGTGTAATCGTTTTGTTCTGCCTAATTTGGAAGTATGCGGCGGCAGCTTGGAGCTGCTGCCGCTTGTAATCTTTACGCGTGTCCGGTGGCAGCTTGGAGCTGCTGCCGGGCGGATCACGGGCTAGTTGGATTTTTCTTCTAATTGTTTTTTTTTTCTTTTGTGAAGTTGAACTAATAAAGAAGTGAATCTATTGCTTGGTGCTGCAGCAGCTGCCGGAGCGCTTCCCCGCCAGGCAGGCCCCTCCCAGCCCCAGCTTCCCCTCCGCGCCCGAACGTTACACATGCGATCTTACTGACGAATGGAATTATGAGTAATTGGCCAGCGTACGGGATGCGTTTTTCACATAGTTCCCAGCAGGTTTTTGTCGCTAACGGCACTGCTTTTTCCGACGGATCCTTCTAGCTAAAAGAATTGAGATTAGCCACTAGGACTGTCAGAAAACATCCCTTTAAAATTTCAGCCATTTAACTTTTCAGGTCCCCGAGTTAGCAACCTACACACAAAAAATTTTCACGGGCCCGTCCGAAGGAACTACGTGGGTAAAAGTCTCATTTTGGGAACGCAGGCCCGTACATGCGTGCAGCTCAAGCTACCAAAGTTCTAGCCTTGTAGCTTTTGTAAGTCCCGAGATGAAAAATTGGTACGAAACCCCTCGACAATGTGCGCTTTTGCATTGCACAGATGCAAAAAATGCATGACCACACCGGCAAGTCCGTTGCATTGTGGCAGTGACTAAGATATGACTTGGCTCGGTTTGGCCTGCAGACGATTTTTCCCCGTGTTCTTATCCTGTAGCGGCATAGAACGCTGGATGCCACAGGTGGGGTGGTTGTGGAGACGGACTTTGTGTACGAGTTTCGGAGGAGAGGACTGGAGCTAGGGGAGGATGGGTTGAGTAGTAACGTGGCATCGCTACGTATCGGAGAGCGGAGGAGGGTGATGGGGAAAAGGAGCAGCAATGCCGCTGGTTTTTGTCACGGATACGCGGTGCACGGAAGGACTCGGGAGGAGGTACATTGCAGAGGGCACAGGAGAGGGGAGGAGTGTTAGTAATGCATGAGTATATTTTTTGGGTGTAGGATTCAAGATAGGGGGAAGGGGTTGGGGTTGGTGTGAGGGGGTAATGTGTGCGGGTTTCGCGCACGGGGATTCGAGGCAGGAAGAGAGAGTTGGGGCGGGTGAATGAAAGAGTCACGCGGCGTAGATCCCTTGGCAGTTGTCTAGGCCACGTTGCGGGTAGGGGAGGGGGTGATGGGTGAAAATGATGGAAGCAAGAAAAAGGTAAAAGCAATACAAGCAAATTAAAAAAAGCCATCAGTAGGGGAATTCCCCATCTACAAAGCTGATGCTTAGGCAAAACTGAAAGCGCATAAGGTGAAGCTAACGCTTAAGTAAAAATGAGAGCTCTCAGCTTTATCTGAGCATCAAATTCATAGATATGGAAGTCTTCTACTGGAGACAAGCTTTCAGCAAACAAAAAACCCGTTATCATCAGAGCGCTTCCTCATTTATGAAGCTGGTGCTTAGGTAAGGCTGAAAGACCGAATAGCTGATGTTTAAGTAAAACTGAAGGCTCTCAGCTTTTCCTAATTATCGGCTTCATAAACAGCTTCATAAATAAGCTTGTTCTCCTCCTCTACCCTGTCCCCAAACCCTGCCTGCAGAGCCAACTACTATCACCAGTAGTCATTCCCTACTTCTCACTAGCCCTCTTGTTCCTCTCATCTGTGTTGCCTTAATCCGTGCCCTTTGAGCTGATAAAGTTTTTCGTGTGCTGAAAGCTTGTTTCCAGTAGGGGGTTTCAGTATTTACGAATCTGATATTTAGGAAAAGCTGAGAGCTCTCAGCTTTACCTAAGCATCAGCTTCACTTTATTCCTTTCAGCTTTACCCAAGTATTAGTTTTATAGGTGGGGAAGTCCTTTACTGATGGCGGTTGTCATTTACTTTTCTTGCTTTTACCTTTTCCTTGCTTCCCTCCTTTCCACCCAACACCCCCTCCCTCCCCGTTATGTGGCATGGGTAACCGCTAAGGGACCTATGCCACGTAACCCTTTTACCTACCCACCCCGACCCTTCCTCTGTCTCGAATCCCTGTGCGCGAAATCCGCACACATTTCCCTCCCTCTTCCCGTCCTCTTACACCCTCCCCAACCCCTTCCCCTTGCCTTGACTCCCATACCCTAAAAATATGCTCATGCACTGCTAACCCTCCTCCCCCTTCTGTGTCACCCACAGTGTATTCCACTCCCGAGTCTGTTCCATACCCTCATATCCGCGGCAAAGCCAGCAGCATGGTCCTCCTCCTTTCCCTCTCTCTGCTTCCCTACGTGGCCAAGTCACGTTACTTTCAACCCACCTTACTAAGCTCCTCCCTCTACCTCCAGTTCTTGCGCTTGTGACCCGCACACAAAGCTCTCCTCCACTACCACCCCATCTGCGGCATCCAGCGTTCTATGCCGCAACGGAGTAAGGGCACCGGAAAAAATCGGCCGCAGATTGTGTATGGATCCCGCTGAGCCAAGTTGGG